CCCCTAACTTTTTTGTCTCTCTAAACATGCCTTTGGAGCCATAGTTCGCGGCCAAAGCTCCCAAGAACCGCGAAATCTGACGACTGTGATTATCTTAGATGTTCGTGTTGTGTGTGCCTTTCAAAGAGGGTACTCTTCACATGAAAAATCGGGTTGCCACAAACCGGAAAAACCTGACATATTCCCTCCCAAGGTAGTTTTGGGATTTCGTTGGCGTCGTCAAACCTAAACCCTAAACCCAGCAGTCTGGATTGGCTCTTCGATCTCCATGGCCTATGCTGCTTGCTCATCCACCCGGCCGAAAAGTGGGAGTGCTCAAAAAAAGTGCAGCATTTCGTTCCCCTTTAAACTCAAGTCTATGTTTGTTTTGGTGTGCCAGAGCCACCCGAAAAGAGGGAAAGTTTCAGGTTTTAGTGGGAAAATTTCAGGTTTTAGTGGGAAAATGTCAGGATTTAGTGGGAAAATGTCAGGTTTTAGCGGGAAAGTATCAGGTTGTAGTGGGGGAAGTTATGTCAGGTCAGGTTGAGGCCACAAAATGTGAGGATGTAGTTATCAATCAAAGGGTGGGAAAAGGTCAGGCTGCAGTGGGAAAATGTCGGGCTGTAGTGCTCCGAACACTGCCTGCCAAGGTTTGCACACCCGATGTCCGATTTGGACTGATGTCTGAAAGCACCCTCAATGTGATTTGTGCGACGAGAAATTGCCTTCATTGATGACGATTGTGTGTTTTTTTCAGATGATGCATTTGCATTTGTCAGGTTTTGTTGGGCTTTTGTCAGGTTTTGTTGGGTTTTTGTCAGGTTTTGTTGCGTTTTTGTCAGGTTTTGGTGGGGTTATGTTTGTACATACAAACACTTGAAGAGACCCCAAACAAAGAGTATATGGACGCAACTCCCTGAGATTATTACATACGCATGTGTGGCTTCTGCAAGGACAGTGGTGTTAACTGTTACTATTCCGAGGGCATAAATGGATGTAGAGTTCTGCGAACTAAGTACTGCTAGTACTCATACATTCCTGCTGTCGGCAATGCCGAACTAAGCGTATTCCCCAGTTGGTTACAAGTTGTAGGCGGTTCAGGGAGAATATGGCACAGGAGCTGGACTTCAATGCTGTCCAGACACTGCTTAGAGAGCCACTTGGCTGAAGCCCAGGTGCAACTTGTTGAAGTGGGTCCCAACCGGCATGTTTTCATTTCTTTGAGAACCGAACAAAGCTACGATCAGAGAGAGCGGTGGTTTGCACATGGCCCTGCTGGGCTATAGCGTGCTGTACCTCAGCAGGTTCCGCAAAGAGATGCAAACGAAGGAGACCCGGGGTTCGAAAGTGTGTTCTTCAGCGACAGATTAGGGTCGGGTTGAGGAAATGTTGGGGTTCGGGTTTGTGATTGGAGGCTTTCTGGGCTTGATAATCCAAAGGGGTGAAACCACCACGCAATATAGCAGGTCCACCCCTCCCATACACACGCCATCGTATACATGCTGGCAGGAGGAGGCCGAGCGCACGGCAGCTTATGCCTCGAAGGAAGAAGAGCTCCTTCGATGCTCGGGATGATGTTTTTTGGGCTCAGGGCCTCAGGGGAGGTTCAGGGTTTTTTTTTGGTTTTGCAGGGTGGTTGAGGTTGTTGCAGTCAGACGAGGATCGGAGTTTGGGATCGGGAGCGTGACTGGTTTACGCGCTTCTTGCATCTTGCATGCCATAGCTCAGTCGAAGGATCCGTGTTCGCCTCTGATATTCCAGCCATGCGGGTTGCCCAGGGTTGCTAATTTAGGGATTCCTGAAGTCTCGGGACTTGAGGTTTTCAGGTCATAGCCCGGAATGCGACTCAACACTTGCAAGGTATCCATTATGTCCCATAGAGGTTGCTTGAGCGCGCGATTCCTGGCGAGAAGCTGTGTTGATGTCCGTTCAACTTGAAGCACTTCCAACAGGATCATGTCCAAATCAGCTTCGTGGCCCTTCCGACCATCCGCCAGACACCCGTACACCCTACGCCAAGGAAAGGAGTGGGAAGAGTTTCTGGCCAGCCGGCCAGCACGAAACGAGGCGAACAGATGGGTTCCTTCGCATTGGTAGATGGGCATGGCCGGGGGTAGTGATTCTTGGCCACCGTGGCAACTGATACTATGGGGACTTTCTTAAGACCAAGCGCCCGAGTTCCTCAATCCGCCGCAGAGCGGCAATCCTCGAGACTAATCAAGACTGTGAGGATGTTGGGCTGCTTACCCGTGCGGGTTCGCTCCTGGCCTACGCGCTGCCACTGACAGATGCGCTGCGCTTCGGAGACTCGGGCTGGCTTGCTTCGTGCCTGCTAGGCAGCCCTCAGCATGCTGCACTTGCTGCTGCTATTGTGCCCCATGCCCTGGCCCACATCTTGACAAATCTAAAACTCCAAAGCACCCTGTAAAGTTCCTGCGAGACCTGAGTGGGTCTATGTTTGAGACGCCTAAGCTCTTCTTTTCCACCCATCTCAGCAACCGAACCTAGACTATAATGAGGAATGTTCCTCTTTGCCGCCTTCCCCGAGATCCAGCCTCTACTGGACTTTCTTGCAGCCTGGGCGGAGTTTAAGGGGCTTGCCGGGTCAGGATCGGAACCCACACGCAAGAGTTGTCTCAAGAGTTTTGCAGTGCATCCCCGTCGTTGATGGCCACACAATGGATGCAAGAACACAAACCGAATGCCCAAGTTCTACCAGGTCCGCAACTCCAAAAGGCGCATGTTGTCCATCAGAGAGGTCGACCTGTCAACATGCTAAAACCTAGGGCTGCAGACTGGATGGTGTTTTGGGACTTGGTAAAATGTCACAAAGCCTGACTCAGTCTGACCGCCTTGAACATCCCAGAGCACCGTGGGATCACATCTCGCAGACGCAATCCCTGAGCCCAGGTGGTGCCCGTTGTCTTGGTGAACGCGCTGCCGTTTGGACTAGGCGGCCGCAGCATTGAGCTGTCACATAACTATCATAACTTAACACAGTATACGTATGTAACTGTATATATATATACATATATGCATACACTTCAAGAGCTTTCTCCAGAAGCTCCAAGAGACCACTGGAAGAGTGCTCCAAGCGACCACGCCAATTCAGCACTCCAAGGGGCCAAAGAGCTCTGCACTTCACGAGGCGCAGATCCCCTTAGAACGGATGGGTGCATGGAACCCATCCAAGAGGCCAACATGCACGAAAGTGCTTTCCTGCCACGTTTTCGTGATTTGCGATGTCTTGGATGCTGTCTCCGGAGTTCACGGCGCCGGCGCGAGAGCAATGTGTACACGCGGGAACACCTAGAGGGTCGTCGCTCGCTACTTGGATAGTGCACAACGCCTAGGCGAGAACTTCCGGGCCCATAGCAAACACCGAGAGGGCGTCTACTTCCGCGCGCTGCCGCGCACACGCGCCACGCGGAGACACCATCGAATTCCTTCCTAGCAGGAACCCCATGTGCAATCACTGTTTTGGGAGACTACAGGCATATCACATGACAGCGCCTGATTCGGGTTTGGATGCCTTTTTGATTTGCTACTCTCCGCTGCTGTTTCGGCTCGGCACTCCGGCTCTAGCTCAAAGCCAAAGGGTTTGTCGCCATGGGGAACACGCCGAGCCACGAGCGAGAGTCCGTCGAGGTGGGGTTGCGACGAACATGCAGTGCTTGCGCCGTACCAGCATGCCTGTTGAACCTGCAGCCCACAGCGGCAACTGCCCGAAGTCATTTGACACTGCATATGTGAATGCACCTTGCCACTCGAATCTATGCATACTTGTAGACATCTACTGTATGCTCGTCTTGTATGCATGTATGTATACGCTTATACTACGAGGAGGACGTTGAGATGTAGGCCTCGCAGCAGCCCTTCGTTGGAGCGCAGTACGCCAGCCCTACTTATGCATTGGACATGGTGGTCTTGCGTCCTGCATCCCAATACATGCCATGCAGCAGCATGGAATGCATCATCAGGTGATCCGAGTGGATGAGGATGCCTCTTCCAAAAGAGTCTTCACTTCACTGAGCCGGGTTTAGAACTTTCAGGCCTTCCGCCCTACATTGGGGCCAAGTGCATTTTGGTCGTACACCCACTCAGAGCCCTCAACCCGAAACCCCGAACCTCCAACGCGCCAGAAGGCCAAAACCCCAAAAACCCCAATACCTGCCCTAACCAAGAACCGATTCCAGTGCCTCACCTGCCAACAGTTGCCCCTGTGGAGTGCCTTGGGCGCAGGTTTTTGCCACGACGAGTTGTTGGGGTTTAAGGTGCATAGGGTTGCCTTAACTTAGTGCTTGACGGTCTGTTGCGGAGAATCCTCTGCTAAAGTCACCACCCACCTGTGGAAGTTGAACCCCTGTCCCGTGCACGTCCTGGAAGTTGAGCCCCTGTCCCGTGCACGTCCAAACACTTCCGGGCACTTCTCATCCCTGCAGACCAAGTTCAGAACCTCCCAAAGCTCAGGCATGACTTCTTGGAGGAGGCCGTGACATCCCTGGCTGCAGAAGCTTCAGGCACTCCGGACCTCTTCGAAGATGCAGAGCCTTGGCTGAACTGAGGCGTGGGAGCGATGTTGGATTGGGGTGGTTGTTTGGGTTGCAAGGAAGCTGTGGGCTCGATAAACACGGCGAGCTACGCAAGTTTTTCCTGCTCGTTCGAAGACGTGCGCGCTTCAACTTGCACAATCTTGCACAAACTTGCACAGACTTGCCCAAACTTGCGCAAGCTGCATGTCAACAGTGAACCTGTGAACCTTGAGATGTATCCCACGACCCACCGATGGCCTGCGATATCCAGAGTATCTGCTTTGCCCAGGAATTTCCTGCCAACAACGTGAGTCTCGGTGGTGTTACCGGGGACGGTGCCAATCCACTTGTCGCCGAGTACTTGCAGGAGACGAGATGAACGAAGGGACTGTCTGAGTAAGTGCGTGGTCGTCTTCGTGACGCTGCTTTGTATGTTTGGCACTGCAGTTCGATGTGCATGCCCGGATTAGTCAGCGCCCATGCCAGGAGATGATGAAACATGTTGTGCCTGGTTGGGTGCGTCCACACCAGATCATCGGGGAGAAAGCCAGGCTTGGGAGGTCTTGAAATCGGCCGGAGACCGCCCCAGAGGAAGTGTCTATTTTCCTCGCGCGAACATGTCGAAAGGATCGGCACCAGCCAAATGAGCATGTCACATGCCGAGAAAGTGGTACTGCACATTCAAGCCACCTTCGGACAGCATCAACACATCCTGTCGTCAGAAACCCCGTGTAGCAGCTATGCAGCAATGCATGACACAATGTTGGCAAAGCAACGTCACCACAGAAGCAGCAGGAGTAGTAGAACGAGCAGGAGTAGTAGCACTCGCAGTAGCAGCGGGAGTTATTAATTTTATTGTTGTTGTTCTTTTTCTTCTTGTTCTTATTCTTGTTATCGTTCTTATTCTTATTATTGTTATTGTTCTTCCTGTTCTTCTTCTTATTATTATTATTGTTCTTCTTGTTCTTGTTATTGTTATTCTTGTTCTTGTCCTTCTTGTTCTTGTTCTTGATTCTTGTTCTTGTTATCGTTCTTGTTCGATCGTCGATCGTGGTAGTGGGAGTGGGATGATGCTGTGTTCTCCCATCCCCAGACCGCTCAACCTGCATTCTTGTCCTCAGACTCAGAGCACTCCCAAGAGTACCCTGCAGGCAGTACAAGCTGTACGGCGTGCAGGGCGAGCCCTGCCTTTTCAAGCACATTTCGCCTCGGGATATCGAACAAGGTTATCTCGGAGACTGCTGGCTCGTCTCCTCCTTTGCAGCCATAGCTGAGTTCCCGGACCGTGTGCGTTCGCTGTTCAGACAGAAGGCGCTCACGAAAGATGGAAAGTATGATGTGAGGCGCGCTGTGCAGTTGCCGGTGCTCATCTCCGAGCTTTAGTTCTATAATGTTTGGTTTGCAAGTTTACTTTTTTTTGTTGAAGGAACAGAGGGGCTGCTGTCCCACCGGCTCGAGTTGCCTTTGTCCAGGGCGCTCTGGCTCACGATGCCGTGCTACAAAATTCAAACTTTGGGGGATGCGTGTGAGCGACTTACAATGCTTGTAGGTCTCTCACCAGAGAGTTTTTTGCAGGCCACATTCATCCTAAGGCCTCTCAGGAGAACAATTGTAGCAACACGCCCCTGCACTCAGAATCGCCGCTTCTTATAATTTGACCCGCTAGCACGGCGCCGGGGTGGCTTCCAGCAGCTGCTTAGAAAAACCAAGGGGCGGGCTGGAGGCCAGGGATGCGGGAAGCGTTGTCTCACAAACCGCCAGAAGGGGGCTTGGGGGCGTGGGACCGGAGTGAGGAACCAACGGTGGCTGATGAGTTCAATTGATCTTGAGGGTTGCCATGAGAGTCGCGAGCCTCCCCGCCACATACCATGTAGGGGCACTCTCTAGTGATAGTCTTTGCATGTGGCCAAGCAGTCGTAGCAACAGCGGCTAATTAACAGATGGATGAATGCGACAATCGATAGTAGCTTCAGCTGCCATTGACAACAGCGCAACTCTGCATGAAGCTGCATCGTGCAGTCCAGAGTTGTTCAGGTATGGCTCATACCGTATGACAATGGGGATCTAATACCTTATGGGGATGTAGGAGAGTTTCAAGCTCCGCGGACACATGCCTCGATACCATGTTGTCTTGTGAGCACATATCATACTGTGCCCGACAGGCTATACGACCCACACGCAGAGGAGTGGGTGGTCGTGACAATTGATGACCGGCTCCCATACTGGAAGAAGCCGGGCAAATACGGCAATCTCTGCTTTGCCCAGGTGACAAAGGAGAACGAGCTTTGGACATGCCTTCTGGAAAAGGCTGTCGCCAAATTTGTGCAGTCCTACCACCGTCTGGATGGTGGCTTCGAGTCCGTTGCCTTGGAGATGCTGACGGGGAAGCCGTCCCTCTGTATCTCCATGAGTGTAATCCCCAACGGCATGCACAGACCTTTCACTTACGAATGTGGTAAATTACCGTTTACGGCTCGCCACGCCACGGTTCGCATGAGGACTGAATCCTTCGATGCACAGTGGACATACTACGGCGAGGATGCCTCTGCTATGGTTGGTGGCCGACACGGTTTGGAGGATGCGCAGTTCTGGAAGATGCTCCAGACTTGGGATAAGGCAGGCTGCAGCATAGCATGCAGTAGCCGACACGACTATCAAGGCATCCTGGCTTGCCATGCCTACACACTGCTGCGCGTTGTGGAAGTGCCAATCGTGCGCGATGGGGTGTCCAGCATCCTCAGGCTCCTTCACGTGCGTCTTCGGGCGCTGGACAAGTAAACTGTTTGCTTGCAATGTCCGCGGTCGCACTAGTCTTTTTACACCATTCTAACACTTTAATTGCACGCTCTGCTACCCCCACCTTTCCTTCCCCCGACCTCCCCCATAGTGTGATAAAAGGGTCGGCTCGAGGGCAAGGAACAGGCGGAAAATGTCGAAAGGTTAGGGATATGAAGGGCGTTGGCGGTAACACAGGCAGGAGTGATCAAGGCTATTGGGTTCTTGCCCCATGTGAACCCAACAAGCCACCAACCGCCAGAAGCAAAAACTTCGAGTTGTTGAGGCAATCCGCATCGAACGAATGAGTGGAAAGGCCGCTTTTGCGATGACGACGCGGAGACCCGACTTGCCTCCAGGGTTGTGGTTCATGGGCTCAATCCCCATTCCCTGTCAAACTGACTCGTGCTGCAGTAAGCGATTGAGTAGGTACTGTAAATTGATGTCGCGTGGGTGAGCAGGCTCATGGGATCTAGGTACCGCCGGTATCGCAGTGGTTACAGTAGACGGGGGAGCTCCAGGTTTGCTTAGTGTTGGCCACTTCGATGGGGTTTCAGTGGGCTTTCGGTTTTTCAGACAAGTTTCAGGGTCGAAGTCGAAGGCGTTGTTTCCAAGCGCTTGCTTGTTGAGCCTGACAGGAGACATGGAATACATATCCAGAGGCTCTGAAAGTTTGCAAGCACACGGTTGGCATCAAGGAGGGGCCTTTGGACGAATCCAAAGGTGTGCTGTAGTTTAGCGCCTTTAGGGTTTAGTGGATTTGGTTCGAAGCTTGGTTGAACATCGATCCGTGGCACTAAATTTGCTGCGCTTTTTTGCGGAAACCTGCTAGCCTGTCCAGTTGTAAACTTCTTGCCAGGATAACGGAGTCTTCTGGATGGACTGGGCGGACTTCAAGAATGGCTTTGAGAAAGTCCATACGAACTTTGATAAGCAAGGGGAGGGACCACGCTACACTGACAAGACTGCGCAGGCCCGGGCGGAACATCTACACGTCTCCTGGGGACATGTTGGATACCAGAAATGGGAGGGGCTTCAACCAAATCTGCTGGGAATTGCTGAGTTCTCGTGCGCATATTTTTGCTGCACTTAAGGGGGGTTGACCCTTCTGCAACTCATTTTAGCCCCCTCGTTCTTGGGGCAGCCCGGCGCAAGACACGCCAAGGGATGTCTGGAAAGATGTTGTCCCCCATTAAGGCCCCCTTGGGGCATAGGCGGAGTTTTAAGTGTTTTTAAAACTCGGCTGCATCAGACGGCGCTTCTGCGAGTATCAATCGTGCTATAGCCGCACTTAGATGATCCAGTACCGGCTGTGATGGCGTTTTCGTGGATGTCAACACGCGCTGCTGCCCGATGGTCGTTTCCTTCCTAGTTATAGAGCCCCAAACATGTCGGCATGGTTCTGCCGCGTTGCCTCAACCCATTGTTGGTACAAGAGACGGCTCGAAGTGCAGCAAACATTTCCGAGACGGCAGTGGCTTCGAAGGAGCTGCATTGCCGTCAGCTAGGGCAGATCGCAAGGGCGTGATCGCCATCATAAAAATGGTTTGTTGCTGCGTTCGCATGGTTACTCACAGCGGCTAGGTTTTGCAGCTCGACGCACCTTTTCAACACATCCCATTCTTGCTGTGCTTGTTCTGTCAGATTTTACTTGGGAGTCTTCTTGCGTAGCAGTAGCAATGGTCTTACTTGCGGATCTGCTGCCCAATTAGCTGCCTCAATATGCACGGCGCTTCAGATTCTTTCACAAGCCGTGTGGTTGGTGTTACCCCAGATGGTTCGTCCAGATATCTTGAAGTATAATTTGTCACGTGTGCACATTCTTCGGTGCATGCATATTCACTACAGTCAAAAGTTCTCTTCCTGCTTGGGATGACAGCCAAGCTACCCTGTGTCCCTGGGTATGGTACAGTTACTGATGAAGACTGTAGGCAGCACGAACACCCATCATGCTCTTGGCATGTACCATTCTTCCTGGTGCTTTCGGATGCAGGGTTTCGAAGACCCGTACCCCAACTAGCTCGCGAACATCCTAGCACTTCAGCGCGATTGCCATGTAACAAGTAGCCGCCGATGCCCCTTCAAGGGTTGCAAGAAGCCTGGCTTGCAAAATGTGCCTTAGCCCTCAATCCAGTGCTTGCCGGAACCTCAATTCCTGGCGCAGGCTACCTCATCCTTTTCCTCAGCATGCAGGCAGGGCTCTCTCAGTGCGTGTATATGAAATAGGTACACATGCAGGGTCGGACATTGAGCTTGGCCTGCATGAGTTCTGGTTTTAGCTAGGGCCGCAGTACCGCATGGTAGCTTCGGTGCAAGTAGCTCCGAACTTCACCTTCAAAATTCACGTAACAAGCCCCAAACCCAAAACTCCTCATCGAATTATTCCCTGCTTTCTTCGGCGCATCGCAGCAGCGCAGGCACTGGCCACGAACCGGGATCTGCCCGCACTTCTTCGATACAACCTTCGCCAGGCCAGGGTCGAGGAATGCCATTACTTGCCCAGGGTACACGCTCTGATTTCCTGCTATTGCACCGTGCCTTGACTGTTAAACTGAAAGTAGGAAACTTTCCAGGAGGTGCTGTGGCTGGGAGGGATGGCGCAGGTGTTTTGGACCTTTGGCCAGTAGTCACGTGGTTATCAGGATGCTGGCCAAGTTGTGTTGGGCTGTTGTCCGAAGTAGTCAGGTTCACCTCGGGTTCATGGGTTTGGGGGTAGCGTCGGCATGGAAGACAGGAGTGAAAGTTTGGGCTTGTACCCGGAGTGGCTGATGGGAATCAATTAAGCACCGCTAGATTAGATGCTTTGACCGTGTCCTTTGGCAAAGCATCCCTCATTGAACTGCAAGGCGATCACGCTTGCCAGAGCCCAAAGTCACTGCTGTCTTGTGCATTGTTGTAGTGCTGTTGTGACTTGGTGGTTGTGCTGCGAAAGGGTCGGACAGACAGCGTCGGACGACAAGTAGGTTCATGTGGCTATGTATAGACTCAAAGGACGAGGCATCCGTTGATGTGAGTGGGGAACCCTGTCCTGAAGCCACCACCAACAGATCTAGCAGCCTCAAGAGATTGGAGTCGTGAATCAAGACGTGCTCTTCTTGCTGTTACGACGATAGCTTACTTAGCCGCCTTACCAGCAACGCATCGCCGTAGTGATATGGCTGGAATAACCATATAGTGCATAGTGCTCGTCGTGGCAAGCTTCAGATGAAATATTCCGTAGGTCTAGCTGAACGTAGACGATCCCGCTGCTGTATTCCTCTACTCCTGGGACCTCTGGACGAATGCCGAAGCAAAGTTTGTTGACCCAAGCGGTTAGCCGGAACAAACCTAGATCACGGGAAGGACTCAATACATTTATCACATGTCAACTTCAAGCTTTACGTGTGCTTGAGACCTTCTTCTTCAGTCTGAACCAGACTTGAAGCCACTTCAACGGACTCAGGACATTTTCCTGGTTATCATTGGCCTGATCGGCGGGCTGATACAGGCCAGTCCTTTCCAGACTCTCAAAGGCTCTGAGCAGCACGCATCCTCTACAAGGGTCATGCCAACAATAGGACGGACAGACCGACTCAACGAGTTGAAGTGTGTGTTTGTGTGTCTGTGGTAGTTATCCTTGCATCCTTGACCCCGTTACTGCTTGGGGACCTGGGATCGTGGAGTCTTGCAATGCTCCAAGACAATCATTCCTCAGGCCCTTTCGGTGAGGATTTGAGTATGAAGTCCAGCTGCAAAGATCGCAAAAGCTGCTCAGGCAGGCGCCGCCCTCGTCAACCTCCCGCTGCCCCTGGAAGTGATTGGTTGCCTGGCCATTGTGGTTGGGTGTCCATGATGAGGTTCAGGCTCAACCAGTGAGATTGTTTCCAAGAAAACCGTTGGCGCGAAGATTGTCGACAACCGCAACCGGTACCGTAGCCTCTGCAGGAAAGCGGCCTGGCATGTTCGTTGGAGCGTGCAGGGGTCGTCCTGTAAGTTGACATGTTTTTTGACCCACCACCGGTCCAAAGCACTTGGTTTCGGGCTACCGCGGCGAACCAAAAGCACCTTCAAAGCAAGACATGTCCTGTGGTTATAATGCTGGACTGAACCCAAAACTTTGGATCTGCCATGCTTTGCCCATTGCATATGCTGCCTGCTTCCTCTCGTGGCCGTCAGGCCCCCTGTCCATCTGCTCTGAACCCTCGGGTTGTGCTTGAGAGCTGCCGTCCAGCTGAACACATGACAGCATTGCGGGCTAGCTGCATCATGTTGAGCTACTCAGACAGACCGAAGTTGAACAAGGGCAGTCTCGTTCTGTGTTGCTTGACCTTCAACCCTCAGTTGCTGCCAGGGCTTTTGTTTCTTCGCACGCCTCGCGCACTTGCTTTGCGAACCATGTCTTTTCCGTGCTCAGCTCCCAGAAGCGCATCCAGCAAGGATGCTCACAGCTGTGTAGTCTCGTGTGCAGACACAGCTCTGACAAAGACGCGTCGAAGCAGTTGCACAGACGCATGTCCATGTTGCCACAGGCTTATGCTTTCATTTGGTGCAGCCGCTGTTGTGGCTCGCTACCGCAGTCCTTCTCCATTGCTGCTGCAGCTGTCGGGGAAAAACTTGAGCAATCGCGATGCACATGCGTAGCAGAGCTGGGTCCAATGGCCTCTTAGCCGACTGCAGCATGTGTCATGGCTCAAAAGACGGCTGCCTACACACATCAACTTGAGATCCTGAACTTCTTGATCGGACAACTGTGCAGCTCAAAGCTCGTTTACCGAGTCATTCTCCGACAATTGCATACTTGGCACACAATGTCATCCGGTTATACGGTTAATCAGACCTTTGTGGGGTGGAATTGACGCTGGAGTTTCAAATTCTCGATGTGTCCATCTGTAGCGACAAGGCTTCAACAGCACCTGCATCTACTTGGCGGTGACCGGCGCATGCATCTACTCTATCATCGTGAGCCTGGGCCTTGGGGCAAAGCAAAGCATGGTCTCCGCCTGCGCTAGGCGAAGTGTTTTTGAACGCTGCGCGTCGCCCGCCTCGGCCCGGCCCGGCAGTCAAAGCCTTTTAAGGGTGTAGGGTCGGGCCCTCCCTTATATGTACCATACTGCCCCATCCTGACTCAAGAACCATCCTGGAGTGGTCGCTCTGCTAGGAGATAGGATGCCGGCCAGCCAGCGATGTTGCAGGCGATGCCCAGCAGCGCAGTATAGCTGATTTATGGAGCACCCC